TCTCTTCTCAGACCGCCGTAAAAACCCCTTCCTTAAATCCCGATCAAGCAGCCTACTTCTGGATGCGGTCCCCCGGGGGAGCGAGAGCGAGGCAGCGGCAGCAACAGCAGCAGGGACCAGCAGCGCGGGGAGGAAGGCGAGGGAGACGTCCGGCAGCCGGGGTGGGGGGCGGGCGGCGTCTACAAGGCGCAGTGGCGTTTAAAACGATATCTGATGCAGCAGCGCCCCCTTCTCCCTCCGGCCTCTCTCCCCTTGCCACTCCGTCCACCGCTCTCCCCGGAAGACCCTCTGGCTGGCGGCGGCCGGCTTCACTGCTGCGGGGAAGAAGGGAATGTATAAAATACGTGTGTTGTCTGCCCGGCTACGCCCCGCCAGAGTGAAGGGAAGGGGGTAGGGGGGAGTAAAATATCCGATGCAAACTACAATAAGTAACGAAAAGGCAATAATACGTACGAGGCGGAAGTAAACGGTCGCACATTGCTGCGTACGTCGCGCTGTTCAAAAATGGTTGCTCATTGACGAGGATTCCTTAATGGTTCTAATGCTTGTTTTTCTTGCTCTGTCCCGCTTAGGATGCTGTTTCGTCACGTTCTACACCCGCAAATCGGCCCTTCAGGCTCAGGACGCCCTTCACAACATCAGGACACTGGCAGGGGTAAGTATCAATACCAATGTAAATATGTTCTAAACGTCGTAGCAGTTTTTCTTGCCAAAATTTCAGCATTTCATTTTGCTTGCCAACATTTTTGCATTTCCTGTTGGTTCCCAAATTTCGGCGGTTCTTTATGACTGCTAATTTATCCCTTTTTTGCTTGGTCTTTTGCGGCCTCTGAATGCGAAATATTGGCATTCTTTCAGAGGAGGGAAAACTTCGGCACATAAAAAGGAGCCAAAAAGACGCCACATATTGGCAGTCTTTTAGAGACTGCCAACATTTTGTAGTCAAAAAGGACTGCCAATTGCCACTGTGTGGGCGGCTAGCTGACCAGCTGGTCAGGCAACACAGTGCTTGGCGGCCGCGTCGGGTGGGGATGCCTATCCCCCTCCCTACCCCCGCTCGGATGTGGGCCTCCCCTCCTCTCTCCGGGACTCACGTGAAGCGCTCTACATAAAAATAAGGCCCTCTCTTTTACGATGATTGGGGCGCCCCGTCCTGCACGTGAGCA